ATCCGTGTTAAAATATATTTTGAACTTTTAGTTTAGAAATTATAAAAACTAAACAGCCTACAGTATTTTTACAGTCTTTATTTTACAGTTAAAATAAATGTTTAATAAATAAAGTCTGATGTTAGAGCTAATTGTGGATCCCTTTAATGCTGACACTTCTGATGAAATGTCCCAAGTGTTGCTTTATGTTGATACCAGGATTATTTCAGTAAAGTTTGTAAATTCTGAGATACTCAGTCACATCTCATCATGGGATGTTAGGTTAATAAACACGGTTGTATAAAATGAAATGCTAGAAGTGTTTTCCTTCCTGTGCCTTCCAGCCCACAGCAGTGCAGCAGATTCCCATTCCCATCTACGCTCCGCTCCAAGGCCAGCCTCAGCACCAACACACACACCAGGCTCAGCTGGGCCTCAGCTCCGGTCCACCAGTCTCACAACCACAGGACCTGTTCAGTTCTTCTCTGCAGCCTTACAGGTGACTGTCTCTCAGGTGTTCAGTGTGTTCTGCTGCATTTATCCTGTTTCTGTTGTCTGATCTGCACGCTGCGTTCCCTCAGGTCTCAGCAGGCCTTCATGCATTCAAGCAGCTTGTCGCAGCCGTCGATGATGCTGTCAGGACCTTCTCTTCACAGCTACCCTGGTGTGCAAGGCCCTGAGCTGGGCAAGCCCCAGTCCAGTCTGTATCAGCAGCCCTCCTCCACCCAGCACATTCCCATTCTGTTTGAGCCCCAGCTCAACCAGGCCTCAGGCCTGGGGGGGTCGCAGCTCATCGAAACACACCTGCTGCAGGTAATTAAATATCCTGCACCGATTCTTTCATTGTGTCATGATCAAAGTTTCATTTCACCACATTTGTGTGTGTGTGTGTGTCTGCCTGCACAGGCTCGTCAGGGGATGAACCAACATTCTAACATGTACTCAGGGCAGGTCCAACAACATGGTCAGAACAGTTATTATAGCAGCACCCAGTCTCCCAGTTCAGCCCTGCAGCAGGTACTCTACATGCAGCAGCATCAGGTGTTCTTCAGGTGAAACACAAACATCACTTCCTGTCTGTTTTCTTCAGGTGACTGTCCCTCTGCCAGCGTCTCAGCTGTCCCTGACTAACTTTGGTTCAGGTGGAGGCCAGCCCCTCCTGGCCCTGCCCCCCACTCCCCCCCAAGCCCAGCCTCCCAACATCAACCGTCAGCCCCCGGTTTCTCAGCCCTACAGGGGCATGATGGGCCCCAACCACAGCGTGATGCAGCCTCCAAACAGCAAGGTACCAGACGTTTGKCCTCGTCTGCAGACGAGTTAAACCAGGTTGATGGTCTTCGTTTTTACTAATCTAACCGTTTCAGATGGACATGGACCTGAAACTCTTTGGTAGTGGCATGGATGTGAAGCCTGGAACTCCTCCTGTCAGCGCCAGGAGCACCACACCCACCTCCAACCCTTACAGGTCCAACATTTCTCCATTCTGCTCATATCTTTACTTCCCCAGTAAACTTACTGCACACGAGTTAGCATGTGTCACACGAGTTAGCATGTGTCACACGAGTTAGCATGTGTCACACGAGTTAGCGCGTGTCACACGAGTTAGC